AGAGTTTAGCACCTACCGAGGCAAATGGCAAACGGTGAGAAGTTTTCGAAATTGACCTACTCTGGAGAAACGACTAATAATTTTTTTAGGTAAATGTCTTCCACCTGAGTGATGCTCCGGTGGTCTCTGCGCGCCTCGTTCCACCCATAATAGTTGAAAATCGCCTGCTTGGGGCAGCACGGTGTTTCAATCGGATAACTAGCATTTGTATTTTCCTACTTACGAGAAAGGAATTTTAGACCACCATGGCTATTCAAGAAGAGATGTACACACCCAAATGTATTTTGAATGAATTTGACTCCCAAATCTACTGTTTGATCTGCTGAACATTTTCTGGAAGGAGTTATGAAGAGCACAACGGTACTGGTCAAGATCTCAGTAAAGACGTCGTAAGATCGTTCCCTAACCGTGCTTACTTTTGCTCTATTCGAAATTACAGCTAAAACAGCTTTTAACAACAGCCTATATAGGTGCACTTCCAAAAAGAAGCAAACAGTAAACACGGTGAAGGATCGATCCTTCAACGTCTTAGCTCTGAGTCACTACCACTACCGTTGTTGCTCTATTTGCTTTACTTCGTGCAGAGAATCGTTCAGCAAACTTTGGAGGGTAGATTTGAGACCACTGTTCAAAAGTACATCTACATACATCTTTTTTTGGATAGCCATGGCGACCTAGAACCCTTTCCCTGTCAACAAAAGAAAACTCTATAACGTTGGCTTGGAGACGTACAAGATCTTGTAACCTTCTGTCATTCGTGTGGCTCTGATCTCCGATGTTGTAGGCATGTCTTGCAAAAGTGATGGGTGAGGCATGAATCTGAACGTCATTGCACTGATGACGTTCAGAGACGTCATCAGAAACGCACGCCTCCGGTCATCGGAACTACTTCCTTTAATAGGTAGTAGTTAACCATTGTTATGCTTGATATACCATTTCGTACTTAACACATTGCGCACCGCGTGCGCCACCATGTGGCGCACGATTTCGCACGAAAGGGCATAGTTTTATCTGATTTATTTGACATTTTTCAATGCTCCTGAACTGTTTGCACTCATTTTCAGAGCCGGAAACCATACGTGTCATCACTGATAAAATTGTTGATAGATTAATGATGATTCATTTTTGAAAAATATAAAAAAGCTACGAAGGTTCTCATACAACGGCGGTCCGCAATGTGTTAAAATTGGACTTCAACAAATTTTTCAACATATTTATGCCGCACCATATACTGCGATGAGCAGTTTTTAAGCATCTCGCCCCCATATGGGAAGACATTGTGGATTTGACACGCACTTACATTCCCATGCACATGCAATGATTTGGCCGTCAGAGGTCTAAAACGCGGTTGTTGTTTTGTATTGTATTGAGTTTTGATCTCGTATACACAATGTAGAGTGGTTTATCAGAATTGCTATGAAATGTGTGACTTTTTAGATATGAATAAATGAATAGTTTTGCTTTACATTAAAGAGAAAACTACTGCTGGCGTAAAACATTAAAGGATAAAGGACTGAGTAGCTACGTGTGTTGAGATGTTAAAAGAGATAAAGGATAAAGCATTTGCCGTTGATCAATCCCGTTTTGGGATGCGGCACGCATTCTACTTCCATTTGTACATTCGCAGTGGCATTTGAATGCGATGTGGCCTATACAATGACTTGCGGGGGCCAGCCGATGTTCAAGTCAGTGTTTTTTATCCTCCCAGACAAGTCTGGTACCAATTAACCGACCCCGGAGGGATGGAAGGCTTGGTTGGCCCGGGCGACTCACGACCCAGGAATTGATCCCGAACCGCTCTCGCGGTGGTGAGCGCGCCACTTGTCACTGCACCACTCCCGCCCGGCGGCGTAAAACATTATTCGAAGTAATGCTGGCGCTGCTGTAGACGAAGGGAGGGGGAGGAGGGAGCTAGAGAGGAGGGGAGTAATCCACCCACTCTCGTTGGTTAATTTGTTTTTTACTGATGCACTAAAAACGACCTAAGATAGACCAGCATACACCAACAAAGAGTATCAAGTAAAGAAAGAGTACAGCGACAGAGAGGCCGGCGTAAGCGTGGCAATAGGCAAGTCAGGACGGACGAAGATCAGCCAGCGCGGTGCTGGTGGTGATCAGGGACGTTACAAATGGGCGACAACATCTTATTTTTCTATGACTTGATGAGAAAATCAATATATTAACGCGCCCATTGCGGCAATGTGACCGCTAGCTATTGCCTTCTTGTCTGCGCGATCCGAGGCGTCCTGATCAGGTATCGGCTAACAAAAAATAGGCATACACTATTCATGACTCCAACGTAATTCTACAAAAGAAACAACCAGAAGCAAAAGATGGAAAATAATACAACGGCACTAAAGCGAGAGGGACCCCCCAACGCTCACGCGCGGCGACGAAAGGCGTGGCTCGCGCGCTAACTCCCACCCGCACATCCCTCTGGCTTAATTAATGTCTTATTTCGCTTTCATGTTATGTCCGGCGACAGACACACCCAGCAACACATCGTAAAGGAAAGATGTCAGCCATGTAGTGTTCTGTGCCAGGTCGCCGAGTCGACTCCAGCACAAATAGAGCGCAAACTCGATCACAATCAGGATCACAGTTATTAATAATCAAGTCAAAAAGTCATTCATGTATGGTTCAACCTGCCGTTGCTATACATCCAAAGTAGGAACGGTCCAACGGGCTGTATGTGAATGATCGCTCTATGCACCTCCTAAAAGTTGGATTCACAATCTTAATATAACACCTCAACCAAGCCGATCGCTCCCTCCAGCCGTTTCGTTATGCCCGAATGGAATGACAACCACTCAGGAAGCTATTTCAAAAAACATAGCCATACGTTGGTTAAACGAACGTTGCTGTATGCAGTAAAGAGAGTGTGTACTGAAGGTGTACTTTTCCTACAAACAGTAGGGAATTATTAGCGACATATAGAATAATTTGGTTTATTGGTGCACGTGAGATTTCGTCCATCATGGAGTCCAATGGAAATTATACAAATTGTGGAAGAACAAAACCGCGTACTCAAACCACTCAATTACTGAGCGCTACTTGATGTTACATATGCACATGTTAGCTCAATAAGTGTTTAAAACAAAATGGACCGAGGTCAAAGAGATCAGACAGAACAAGGAACCGTTTTCAAAACGGTGAAGGTGTTAAGTAACAAAATTACATTAAATTTTGCGAGTCCCAAGGAGAAGAACGACAACGGGTTATGAACCTATAGGAGGGAATGAGAACATATCGTAAAAAGAATGAAGAATGAGAATGAACTTATTTCGCCTTCGGTCGTCCCCATTTTCTTGCCGGACATTGCCTTCGAAGGTGTTGAACCGCCAGCTTCTGTAAAATAAATCTTCAAGAGCAACAAGTGACGTCAAACTAAAATGATAGACACATTTTATAGCTCAAGTAAAACTCCTCAAGTTAAAAAGCGTGTGAAGCTGCCCAGCGCCAGATTTTGATAAACGCATCATTAGAGTTTTTTACATGTAGAACGAGGAAACTAGTAGTTTTACGACAACGTACAATTTTCAATACGTGCACATGTTCGTAAGCTCACATGCTACGAGTATTCATGTTAATTTCATAAGTAGCTATGTAGCAGATGTGTTACGTAGAAATTAACAGATCCATACCTGATGGGGCACTTGCTTTGTCCTTCGCATCTTTCTTTGTACGATGTTTCACTTCTGTTTCTCCCATTTCCTTTTCAATTAATGTGATCAACGTATTGCAACGCCGTTGCAATTCCTGAACGTATCATAAATGTATTCGGGAATAATGAACAGTTTTCATAAAAAAAATTACCATGGCAGTTCTGCTTTTTATGAACCAGTCAAATCTGAACTGGGGCGCCATTCGAACCGACTGTCTCAACTCTTCGTAGACTGTCTCTTTGTCGAAGCCTAGCCGATGCAGTTCACACACAAGGAACCTGAAGATTGTCAACTGGAAAATCACCAGAAAAAAAACGCTCCAACCAACCTCCGTAAGGATGCTTGCTAAAAAACCAAGTATACGAACTGATGCAGCTTTTTGCGAATCACATTTAACAAATACGCAGAAATAAGAGTTTACAAATATCAGCGCATTCAGAAATTTTAATTTCCGTCATATCAAGCAAGCTAGCTAAAACTACCAGTGAAACTCTGAAGCAGGCATCGAGACTGTCTGATAAGTGGAAATTCTTAATACCTGTCCTCTTCTTCAGTGTAAGTCTTTCCTTTGTTAGTACCATACGCAATACGCAACTGATGGAAAGGGGCCTTATACTTCGCGATTTTAGCGTCTAGAGCACGCTTAACGGACTGTCGTCGTTGAATTCTTGCCTCACCCTAAACAGTGAAAGCGATAGGATGGATCAGACTGCTAAACATGTGATCATCTTAGAGAAAAAAATCGGAGCGACTTACCTTCTCAATTTGAGCAAGGATTTTCTCATGATCTTGTAGTTCCTCGAACCGTTCCCAGAATATTTTCGCGTAATACTCGATCTACAAAATCATAGATCACATCATATCATACATATCTAGCACATCTAGAGTACGAAGCGAGCAGATAGTTTTTCAGGATAACTAAGCCCAGTTTCGTACCTCAGCGTTGGCCTATTAGTACAACTGAAAAAAAAATAGCCGAAAGAAGCCGTACCGACCCCCTGAAGCCCTAACCATAACAAAAAAAAAAATAATACATAATTCTCGGAGTGTGTCTACAGCTCTATCCTGCCTTTTTGTGATCACCCCCTTCAGGGCACTACAGCAGGGTCAACCGTCCGTTCGAACAGTTCGAACGGGGGGTCGCATTTGGGCTCTGGGAGGGAAAAGGGGGTCGCATTTGGGCTCTGGGAGGGAAAAGGGGGTCGCATTGCGCGCGCTTTGGTCATCAGGCAGGGCAGAGGTGTGTGTGAAAAAAAGCAAAAAAGTTGCCGTTTCAGTGGTTGTATATACCCCCCGCTCGACGGCTATTTTTGGGGAAGAAGTAGGTGGAGTTTCGGAGTTTTAGGTAGGTTTTGGGCTGTGTCAACTGGTCTCAGAATCAAATACTATAGAAGAGGGAGAGGTCGCGGTGGGGATGGCTGGTTGTATTGGGGGGTCGCAATTGTGTATTGGTGGGGGTCGCAACTGGACCCCTTCCAGAGGGGGGGGTCGCAAAAATTCCCGAAAATGTTCGAACGTGACGGTTGACCCTGCACTGCAGTGCTCTGATCTATGCCAAATAACCCATCTCGCTCTAGAATTCTCAACAGTCAACTGACCTCATCTCGAGACTTTGTCTCAATCATCTCATTTGCAATGTTATCGATATCATGACGACCATACTTCTCGTTTGCCTTGAACAATAAAATAACAGTAACAGTTTTACGAATAAACAGGAATTTATAAAGACGCACCCTAATGAAAGCTGTGAAATCACGTTTACTCCAATTAGCCAATCCTTGAGTGAGTAAGTCATTTTTCTCTTGTTGCTCTTCCTCCGTCAATGGTTCGGCCTAAAAACTAACGCTCATCTGGGAAGTGCTTAATACCTCACGCAGTCCGCTGGTGCGCTGGAACATTTCTTCAGGCAAATTCTAAATCCTCTTTGCTCACCGTGTCAATAAGACGTTGCTCCTCTTTTTGACGCTTATCCGCCTCCTTTTGGTCCGCACTCCTTTGGTTTTTCGGCCTAAACACAAATAAAGAATGAAAATGATACGTGCATTCTATACCGACAAACTCGACTATTTCCGGAGCTGCATGAACAGCCAAGAACGCTTCTTATACAAACACATTTGGACCTGGAATGTGCACATATAATTTGCTCTATATCCAATCTTGATGGTCCCAAAAGTTACTGATTAAGTCACGAGCGCTACGGATGACAAAATTTTTAGCACAGATCAAAAAGATTTGGTTTGACTAGAGTTTTAGGCTTTGGAACTTTATAATTCATTTCCTACAAGCACGGTTGCAGAGAGTGCGTGAATATGGCTGTGATTGTGTGATGACCGTATAGGGAGCAGAGTCAACCCTGCGTTGCGCAGTTCTCAACGGCCACGTTGCGCAGTTTCGCCCGATTAGACACGTTCTCTCGCGCGAACATTCACACTCGCATGCTCGAGCCGTCTGTGTCTCCGCCCATACAGCGTGCGTTGAGGATCTCTCAACGTGCCGTTGCGAACTGCGCAACGCAGGGTTGACTCTGGTAGGGAGTCCTGTTGAGGCTCCCCATCATCGTTCGTCTGGGGTCCCGGTTGAAAAAATAGTCCACAAGATCAGCGATCACCAGCAAATATGTCTCTTGCTCGACTACAACCCCTCCTCCGAGCAAGCCCAACCTGCTCAGCCTAGACTTCCTTTTTCTTCTGAGAATGGTGATTCCCAGAAATACCTATTTTCATCCCTTTCGCTACTCCGTGAAATTAAAAAATTTGAGGATGAGTCTTTGACGTTCTCTGTTCTCGATCAAGAACAAGCAGCTCGCAGAAACATACTTCATAATACCAAACAAGCAACCGAACCAGTAGAGAGAAACAGAACTTTTTGATCAATCTTCGACCAATTAAATTACCAACCATGCGTATGGAAATCTTTCATATGGAAAGTTTGGCTATTCTATTACTCGGGAAGCTAGGTCTTGGAATCCAATCAAAATCTGACGAATTTTATTTCCCTTTCGAGGAGAAAGGAAGCAGACAGTGTAAAAGAATAAATCTTGGTGATTATCACTGCAACTCCGTTCAGTTCTCCTGGGAAACAAGATAAAACGAGGATACAGTGTCACCCCAGCCACATCTTTCCCCAGATCGAGTCGCGAAAATACACGGTTAGGCTGACATGGGATGCTTGCAGGGACCTAAAAAGACCTTGCACACCTTGAATTCTCAAATATCGTTCCAAGAGCGCCTATCAGTGGTGAGCCTCGTTGAAGTTCTGACAACATCAAGTAACAAGTGAACGTCATAATCCAGAAACATGAATACGCGCTTTTAATAGGCATCGAGCGTAAAAAATAAGGCTCTTATCTGTTGCTTCCGCCCGTTGCCAAGCAACGAGTTCATCCTCAATCTTCTCAATCCCTGTTATCTCTGTTATGGATAACATGACGCCTACCTAAGCAGCGCGCGAGCGCTTCAGAGGCTTCTCTGCTTCACTACGGCTCCCGTTCCCTTCATGGCAAGCGAGTGTTCCGCGAGCACAGACTGCGACGCATCAGAGACGACTCGCACAATATTCGTTTGTGGATTTGTTGCCAAGCGATGGCATAACAGGTAAGACATCAACAATGCACCACTGATTGCCATTTCCATAGTGATAGGTAGAGTGGGCTTCAGCAAGAACTATTTAAAAGTCACCCACAAAAACTCGTCCGAGGGCTTCCATACATTTTCAACAAAATTAAAAGTTTTGTCTGCTTTCGCAAGAATGCTGGGTTGTCAACAAAACTTTCGCCCCAGACGGGACTCAGAACCCGCACCTCTCGCTTACCGGATTGCGGGTTCGAGTCCCGTCCTGGGGCGAAAGTTTTGTTCACAACCCAGCATTCTTGTGAAACATTCGCAAGGCGAACTGCGGCCAAAAACAGCAGTTAACATCAAAACAAGTCAAAATCAGTTTTGTCTGCATTTAGTCGAACACTCTTGTATTCAGGATACTACGTATGGTGCTACCTTTTTTGTAGACTTCACAATTGATCTCTGAAGAACTTTGAGGGAAAGGGCCCCTTATTACAACTCGTCTCTCTTAAGCCCTCTCCTAATGAACCAAACAAATCGCACAAAATCCCCAACAAGTCACATTCCCACGAATAAATGATGCGATGAATAGATCGAG